CCGGCATGATGATTTGAATTGATAATTTAAAAATAACCCCGCGGCGCACTTATTCTAGACTGTATAGTTGTGTTAATTTGATAACAATAACGCAAAACTCAAACAGTATGTAAAAAGGTTGAAATGAAATTGAAAGCTCAAAAAATGCATCCAAAGAACGAAGCATAATAAGTGGCATAAGCTAATTGGAAATTCACTGTGCGGGTGTAAATTTGTGAATATAACGAGCGTAGAATTTAATAATAATAGTTCATTACAGAAGTTAATTTTAAATTCGATGTTAAATATATGCAAATGCGCTTCAAATTTGCTAACATGTTTAAAGAATCGCTCATGAAAAAATCAATAATTCCTGCATGCCTAGTAGAACCTTCAGTTGCATTCTATGATATACTTATAAGTTGAAAATTCTACGCAGAGTGCATTGGCAATATAATAATTATATAAATAATAACATTGCGTAAGTAATTACTGCAGCAAATTGTGCAACCGGCAACATTTCTTTACATACTTTGCTTCTTTAAAACATATAGCGTGTAATAAAAAGCAAGTAGCAAAATATTAAATGAACGTGAACGACAACCGCATGTTAATAAGTACATATTTATTTCCTGGAATACATATAAGTAAAAACATAAACCACAAAATCTGAGCAGGCAAACATACGTCGCCTTCTCTCCTGCCTATGCAATGACGCATTGTAGGCTGACAAGCAACCAAACGTAACAATTCATGAACACATGAATATGCCAGCTGTTGACTCTTCCAAAGCATTTGGTAATTCGAGTTCATACATATACACTGCATCTACAGCAATAGCAACAATGGCCACTACATCAGGTGGCGGCGGCAGTACGGGAAATCTTGGCGGGAATTCAGCCCACAAACGTACCGCCACATCAGATTCGTCTGGTCTTCCTGATGCCGTTTCGCATTTCTACTATAAACATGGTCTCTTCCTCTCAAGCTATCCCACATGTGCCACCAGCATTGCTATTATGGCGATTTTACTTTCGTGGTAAGTTAAGTCAACAATATAAAATGATTTATCTACGGTTGTCCACTAATAATTTTTGCGATATTTTGACCAGTTTTTGATTTTTGTCTTTTGTTTATTAAATATTTATAAAAGTCTAGCTGGTTATACAACAAACACCATATAAATTCAGATCTAAAACTTTGTACAAGAATTATAAAAATTTCGCAAAATTTTACCCGAATTTCAAACTTTTTGGAATTTTTTTTTTTGTGGCAGTGTCCTTCATATAAACGAAAATGGAAAAACGTGAAACACCTTCAACCAAAAAATTTCTCAAAAATCATCAGAATTGTTTAGCAACTTGAAACTTGTTTTTTATTATACTAGAATTAAATGGACTACAAAACTGCATACCAAAATTTTTTCTAAAGACTTATTGAAAAGTTTGAAATTTTGGGTGAAAATTTGCTTGTATAGTCTGCTAGACTTTTATAAAAAATAATAAACATTAAATAAACAAAAGACAAATAACCAAAATTGGTCATAATATCGCACTGCTATTATTTTGTGGACAAGTGTACACATCAATGGTCCTCTGCAATAATGACTCAACTCAAAATTCAAAAAATTAAATCCCTTACTACTGTTAAGTCTCTAATCCTGATCTAATCCATATCTAATCCTTCCTAAAATAAGTTGTAAGGATTACTACAGTAAGTTGTAAGGATTAGACATGGATTAGACTGGGTTAAAACAAGAGCCACTTAACAGTATCTAGTAAGAGTTTTTATTATAAGCTTTTATTTTTTTAATGGTGTCGTTATTGCAGAGGACCATCGATATGTATGTATTTATACGATTTTTCGAGCGCACATACAGTTACTCATAGAAGTATTCGTAATTTTGTTCATATTCAAAATGTTTTGCATTATACATACATATTTTTATTTATTTTTTTATTTAAAAAAACATAAAAATTTAAATGTCCAATTTGTACAAAAATTCAGCAGACTTAAAAAATTTTCAAATATTTTAAAAAGAATTTTTAGAAAATTTGCGAGTTTGCAGCATTGGAGCTCATTTGATTTTTGATAATTTTTTCGCGTTCTATCAACCCATTTAAAACCTTATAAAAAATTAATAGATCCGGTATTTGCCTTCTGCTGTATAAAGTCTTGATATTGAACCTGTGGTATATATCACTCGTATTCACACAGCTTCCGTCTTGGGAGTGATACAGCAGGAACTTGCAAAACTTTTCCGACGTTGTTTATTTGGAGCTCAGTAAATGGGGCCCAGACAATGGAGCAATATTCAAGTATCGGCTGCACGCAGGTAGAAAATAGTCTGAGGAATGTTCTGTGGTTCCTGTATTCTTTTCCACTCCTAAATTAAAAGAAATTTAAGTAATATGTATGCTCAGAGAAGAGAGTCTATCATCTACAATCACACCCAGATCTTTATTGAGTTGACTGTCTTCACAGTTTGATCAAAACGAAAATTTGCCTGGCCTAGGACTCGAACTCGGATCTCTAAAACGGCACCCCAGTGCTCTGCTCACTCAGCCACAGGGACTGTTGAGGTAGCGCGTGTAAAATGATATAAATTCTTATTTTTGTATTTGATTTCAAACTGAACGAAAAAAGTTAGTGCTGCCACAAAAAACAGGCCGCACCTGAGGCAACACATACATTTTTCAATTCATACTTTTTAACTCTGAGAGGAAACATTAATTAACTGATTTAACAATCATTAGATAAGTGCCCGTTAGAGCTAATTTAATTAATGTTTTCACTGACATTGAAATTTATACTTTCACTTTTCACAGTGCTTGTAATAATTATCCAGACTGTAAAATTGAACCAATACTTTCTGAAAAGAAAGAACAAAACATAAGATAGTAAAATCAGGGGACCCAAATGTAATTTTCCACAGCCTCGATTGCATACCTTTATCTACTAATGTATGTATATTAAGTGGTATGAAAAAAAAAAAAAATTACTCAATTGTATTCTTAAGTGCATAGTTTACTTCCTTCTTGCTTAAATAATTGTCAAGCATTACGTGCTATTAATAACAATATAAGCCGTTTATTTTGAGAATGGCATAAATAATTTCAAGCCTTCTGACTTCAGAGATCATTTACCAGAATCTGTCTGTTATTCGTTGAACTGAAATGCTGAGAAAATTTCTCGTCATTAATTTATGTCGGTAGAATGATTTACAAAATTTTTGTTTTCATAACAAATTTACCACAACAAGGCTACACAATCAGAATTCTATCGACTAACTGTATGGTATCAAGCTAGCACTACATACCATTTTTTCTTATAAAACGAAAGCTACAAATTTTTTCTTTCCACAACAAATTTACAACAGAAAAGGTACAATTAATTCCGTTGTAACTTTTTCAATATTTCAATTCTATCGACTATTGCCCTTATTCATAAAAAATAAAGTAGGTTTAAAGAGCTTTATAAATGACGTTTTCATACATTTTTCAATTTATAAACCTTTTATAAGACTACTTTATTTTTTATGAATAAGGCCATAAGTGTATAGTGTCAAGTTAGCACTACATACCATTTTTTCCTAAGAAATGAGAGCAACATTTTTTTACCTTTTCACAACAAATTTAATTATTAACGTTTCCAATTCGAAAAGTGTACTGCCTACTTGACAGGCGTATATTTTTCGCTCTCTTTAAAAAGAGCTATTCAGGACCTTAATCGTCCAAAAAGTCTCTGAGCTATAAAGAGTTTTCCGATTTCGTTTAGTAAACAATATAAAATTTCTGTTTGTACTTTCTTCTTTAAAAATATTTTCAAATAACTTTATCTCAACATGATCACAAGCAAATGTTATTTTGAAGTGCTGTGAATGAAATCGGAAATATCTCTATAGCTTGGAGAATTTTTGTACAATTACTTAAGTTCTGAAATAGCCCTTATTAAAGAGGGGAAAATATAGTTAGTATTAGATAAAGTACTAGATATTGGATAAGTTCAAGTACATATAGGGTGTAATTTTAACCCAAAGTCATCATAACATTTTTTTTTTCTCAAGCTTTTAGGTACATGGAGTCCATGGTTATCAACTTAACTTAAATTTCCTAAAAGCCTAGAAAAGACTGAACTTTCCGCTTTTCAACGAACATAAGATAATGAGAATCCCTTGAAAACTGTCCAATTTATGAGTGATGTTTTGACCCAACATCCCAATTTTGTGAAATTTTAGTTTGTGATAGGCTTGTCTGATCTGTTCTTTTAGTGTTAATAAAACGAAGTTAGTTCAATTATGGCCTAACGTTTCGCTAATCTTCTTAGCAATTTCAGGGGCGATTTTCAGTTTTTTGATTATAACTTGAGATTTTGGCGTTTGTATGTTAGATTACAAAAATTTTAGCGGAAACAAAAAACTGCCCTATTTCAAAACGGTTCTCGCTTTTATAAAACAAACCCTTTTCAAACTATTTACATAAGTATATCAATATTTTGGTATGAATGGAGGCTTTATGATAAGTGCTTCCGGTGAGCAAATCTCATTTCGGCACAAACGTCAGTTACGCGGTTCTTCAAAACCACGATACGCGGGTTTGCACTTAAAACGGCGATATGTATGTATTTACATAATGCACTTACATACATATGTATGTATGCAAGTGTAAGTATTTTATTTCAAGTACATGTATTCATCATGTCACTAGTAGTTCCGAGCCAAATGAGTAGACTGGCTGGTGCCAGCTTTGAAATTAATATTTGAAATACTATTTGATTAAATATGTAAATATGTGTGTTCTTTATGTTACACAAATGGATGGACCTACAATTTTATAAGGCCTCCGAACGGCAAATGGAATTTATGAGAAGCTTTTTCAAGGCAGAAATACTCGCCGAAGGTTGCCATTGCCTGACCAGACCTGATCGCTGCACAGTGCGTAATTTGGGCGATACCAACCCATGGCGGCAAAATTTCGACTCTACAAATTTTTGCATTATGTACTTCTAATAGACTGTATAATAACGGGTTCAAAGGATATACATACTATTTACATGATTTCCACAGGACATACAGTGAGCGTTAAAAATAAGTATACCCTGTGAATTTTACGATTTTATTTAATTAAATATCCATACCAAATTTGTCTTATTTTTTTTATAAAAATATTGTTTATTCAACAGCAAAAGCCGCAATAATCAATTCTTTAATTTCATATAGAACTCTGGAAAATGCAAGATATTTTCATCGAAATTTTGAATTTGAGTAAGCAGTTTTGTAGCTAATTTAATATAATCAAGTTTTGCTCGCAATGTCTTCTATATAACCAAGGAACGGATTTTATGGATATTAACTTTTTCTGCTAAAGATATAGATTATATTCCATTAAGAATGTCCACGATTTAGAATGTATTTGATAATAAATATACTCCTTTCTATACAAGGGTATGTTTTTGCCCTTGCCCTTATCTCGCTTACGTATTTCATAATACTGTCGTTTTAAGCAACATTTGATTTTCAGAGGAACCTTCTCCCTTGACAAAACAAGAGTATGATTTTTTAAGGAATGAAAACTTTCTCACCGTTTTACTATCGAACACGAAAAGCGAAAGTGGCAATCAAAAGGCGAAATTTTTTGGTAGACGCGAAAACTTCATAAATTTTTATAAACATTATTCGGCTTACAATTTGAAAGAAACTGGTTCCCGATTTTGAAATTAAGAAAAACCCGTTTTAAATTTACATAAGTAGCTTGCATACAGTGAAAATGCTTATGTTGGTAGGAAGTTATTACCAAAAATATTACAATAAATCTATTAACAGTAATAAGTTAATAGTAAAAACAAATATTTTTAAAGCAGGCTTTCTAAATATGAACGAAATCTGACCTTAAATACTGGTTTACCAAATACATATATCGACTGCTACACCACCTATCTGTAAAATTTTTATTGGAGTTATTCCTTTTCATATTGTTAATATACGTTCTAAATATGAACTAAATCTGACTATAAATGCGGGTTTTGCAAATATATCGACTC